CTCAGCTCTGTTTATCGTGACTGCAACTGAAAGTGGATATGGAACTAAAAGTCTCACATTTAACCTGAAACTTTGTTTCATATTGTTCCACTATCTGGTCGTTTTTTGGAATAGAGAAACTGACTTTCACTGTAGGCGTTTCTGCGTGGGCTGAATGCATGTTATCCACGTCATCCTGATTAGTCCAGTTTTCACAGCAAACCAGGAAATCGACGTTCAGAGTTGAGAATCCCTATCCCTTTAGACACACTTTTTAATGGAGTACCGTGACCACTGAATATATAGGCAAGAGGAATCCCACTGTCAAGTCTTCGTTGCATGTCAGCTCTAGGTAGAACAATGCTTCTTTTGCCAATTCACTTACGACATCGAGTAAAAATACAATTTCTCCAATGTGATAGTCCAAAAAGCATATTTCATGCTTAATGAAATTATGAGTAATTGCCCCAGTTCCCACTACTTTCATGCACCTCTAACATTTTCATCCCTTCAACTCCAAACGCTTATCATAGATGCAGCTCAAAGAAATAAACTGTCAATTAAGAACTTCATCATGTGCTCGGCAGAGCAAGGAACTAGGAACGCTCACCCCCATAAAACGGCTGGCATTGCACTAAATTCGAGGGAGGGTACCTACTTCCGTGTCCTAAACGCGGAACACTGGCCCTTATCCAAAATCTCTCTTTATCGCATGTAAAATTCGTTATACTTTCGCTTTCCTTTTAATCCATGATTTTTTTTTCTTTAGAAGATGAAATCTGCCTGACTGACTCTAATTTATTTATTGCCATCTAAAAGTCTCTTTTTAACTTTAAGCGGTCCCACCACTGACATGCGGTGGTCTAGATGCAAGCACTCTCGCCCTCTGCGCCTCAGCACAATGGCGTCCCCAAGGTCAGTTCTTTGGATCTCAGTTCCTCTGATAACTTTCAAGGTCTCAAACTTGATAAATTATCACTTAGATAAGCAGCTGAGTTCACTGTGTGCATTGCAGGCTTACTTCTTCTCTGATTAGATTTGAATTTGCATTTTCAGTCCGCTTGCCCCCTATTTACGGCGCCACATATATAATATGTCATTTGTTCAATGTTGTACAGTGCAAAATCTGCACAGTGCGGTCGGAATTTCATGCAAAGTGCCGAAATTTGCGAATGATTCATACTCACTCACATACCGGCATTAATGCATGTGCGGAAACTTCAAATAATGAACGACTCTAGGCGAATTTGGTAATTAAAAGAGATATAAAAGTACTAACTGTTTTTTTAAGAAAAATAAACTTTTATTAACAATACTCAGGTTCCGCAAACGTGGGAAATATCTATAAATTATACTAATAAATTTGAATATGATCGGCAGGTGAGTATGGTATGGCTATGTACTCACCTGCCGATCATATTCAAATTTATTAGTATAATTTATCGATATTTCCCACGTTTGCGGAACCTGAGTATTGTTAATAAAGGTTTATTTTTCTTAAAAAACAGTTAGTACTTTTTATATCTCTTTTAATTACCAAGATATATCAAAATAATTTTGCTTTATTCACATTTATATATATTGCGTATTGCATTACAATTAGTGTAAGATCGCCCTTTAAATTCCGCAAAATAAGTGACCATTATCAGAATTTTCAAGCTTTTTCCCTTAAATCCTGATTATGTTCGACATTTATATTAAAGCCTTTAAAATGACATATTTCTTAAAAGCGCTTACTAAAAACATGACTTTCAGCATACTAGTTCATATGAAAATGACAAAGTGGGCCATAGTTATAAACTGCAAAATTACCAAAACCCATTATCAAGCAAAAATAATGTCTGCAACAGAAGTCTTTTATTTTTATTTCTAAACTTAAACATGGCTTCACCTGAAGTTAACCAACTTAACACTAGGCTGTCTGTCTCTGAAAGCGATATATTTTTAATGTTACATTCTTATCTTGGGATTCCTTCATAGCGCAACTCTTACAAATAAAACTTTTGGTTCTGCCATACTAAACAGCATAGGAAAATTTTTCAATAACAGATTACCTTCGATTTTGCCAAATTTCAGCTTATTACCCTTAAATATACTGAACTAAATAGACAGTTTTCCTTGCTTAAAGGCTTTCTTCAGATTTAGTCTACTCATAAGGTCAAAATAACGTGATCATGACCTATTCATGAATTCTCAACCACACTATATAACTTGCAACTAGGACAAGTTAAACATCGGTTTCATAATATTTTCTCCTATTTGGTCATCGAAAAACAGTAAACGGTTAACAGTGAGCAGTTTATTGGCAGGAAGCTGTGGCCAATGCCATTAACAATGAACTGAAATCCTAGCAAGGTTTTTGGATTAGGTAAAAGTACTTGAGGGGTTATAGAATACGGATTATCGTACACCGAATACCCATGAGGTTTTAGTCAATTCAGGAAACCAACCTTTGAATCGCTTTCCTTTCTTCTGCCTACAGAAACCATGTTTGGTACAAAACGAATTCTTAAGCAGCAGTCATTTGTTCCATGTATTTTTTGGAAAGCATGCACAAAAATACCTTTTCTTATACGGTCTAGGGAGTAAGTCATATTTACTTCAAATTTTATTGATGAAAAAGGATATTTTCTGGTTCAGTTAATGTCATTTCTCCATCGATGCATTCATCGCAATTTTAGCAGATTGCAAGGTTGTTTACCTTTTCTTATATTTGAATACCTACGTAGAAGCAGAAATATTAAGTCCCATTCTCTGCTAGTCATTGAATTACCTGGCGTTTTGTTGATTCCACTTCATACTACAATTCTATTTCGTCTGCGTTTGCTTAAAACGAATAATATTTGCATAGCTAAAAGGCAAAAGGATCGGTCCCACACGCACTCTCTCTCTCTCGTCCCTCTCCGAGCACTCCCCCCAAGACTGGCTGCAATGTCCCTAGTAGCGTAAAAAGCCCCGTCTGTTGTTCCGCACGGCAGTTAACATACCGGCCAGCATATTTCCTGACCCAGCGATGGCCCCCTTTTGCCTCAGCGCAACAATTACTATTCAGCAAGGGCGTCGAAGGAGAAGGAATAGCTATAAGCCGGGCCAAACCTGCAACCATAAAAAGTAGACAGGGTCTGAAGTTGGTTGTGTAAAAATGTATGCCAGATGGACGACGATGTCTAGCCTGAGCGATGGACGACGACTTTCATTTGAAATGGTTTATAGTGATAGTACACCTACCGTACATTCTCGTCCTGATGAAAAGGCGGATTCAGGAGGGCTGGGAGTAGGA